GTTTAATTTTTAATAAGTCTAAAATTGAAAATAAATAGACTAAAACCTGAACTAACAATTTGCCAAGATTGTATAATTTGCCAAATGCATCGGCGTCAATTGATTGCAGCGCAAATGACTCTTCGATTGCGCTGCAATTATTTTTTAAAAAGCACAAATTTGTTAGCAAAAAAATTGCTAAAAAGTTTTAAAAAAAAATTTTATTAATATTAAAATCAAAAATTGTCCAAAAGATACACATTTTTTAATTTCAAATTAATGCGAAATAGAAAATAATTTTTATAATTAATTATTGGAAATGCATTAAATAATAAAAAGTTAACAATATTTGATTAGAAATTTATTTTTATTTAAGTTTCTAAAATAAATTTTACTAATAAAAAATTGCTTTGTTTAAAAAAAAGTGAACATTTCTTGAAGAAATCGGTATTTGCTCAATGCATTCTTTCCAATATGACCAATTCCAACGTTATACAGCAATCTTTAAATAGAGTTATAATTAAATAATTTAATTAATGATATATTTTTACTAAAAAATTTTTACATATTAAAATCAATTAACCATTTTTAGTTTTTATAAATTAAAATTAAAGCAGGTCAAAGGTTACATCTATTGTTTAGATCACATTTTTGGATCAAACTCTAAATCACGCTTTCAGTAATTTGTTTTAACTTTCTTTGCAGTAATACAGCATACTGAGTATGAAATTTATTACAGTACTCAAAATTGAATTGAAAAACAAAATATTTGAATAAAATAGTAATTTTTTTAAGTATTAAAATTAAAAACTAACAGCCTGCGAACATTATCTGTTAGATTTTGTGGAATTTCGATAACAGATTTACCAACACAACAGCATTTTGGATCCCTAATAAACGTTGTACACGTACAACCACTTTCTACCCGACAAACTTTCTCATACCTAAAACTTGCGTTTTCTTGATTACAATTTTGGTTTTTTTTTTTCAAATTTACCTAAAATTTTATTTTAGATATTAGCCATAATTTCACTTTCACTTAAATTTACTTTTGTACTAAATAATGATTATAGCAATTTGTAAACTATTCACTGCAATAATCGTTATTAATTACTAATCATTATTTATTACTTAATAAGTTTGTTGTTTTTAAAATTAAGTATTATATTTTTAAATTTGTAAAAAAGCCAAAAAAATTGGCATAATTTTATTAAAAACTATGAGAACTATGCAGAAATTTTCAAATAAAATTCAAATATTGCAATAAATACCATTTCAGGCCTTGAGCATTGGCACCAGTATGAGGTGAAGTAATAACAAAAATAACAATAATAATAATATTAATACAAATCATAAAAAAGTAACGGTGCATAATCATATCATTTTAATATATATTGACAGCTAATAATGCCTTTTTCAGTGTGAACGATGAAAGTTTTTTATCAGTTCTTTGCATGCCTTAAAAATTGAAAAATTCTGTATAAATGAATTAGTTTCGACGCAGAAAATTGCTAAGAATTAATCACATCAAAGAGTAAAAGTGATTATGAACAAATCAATTATATCAATTATGTAAAGGAATGAATGAATAAAATTTGCATATTCAAAATTGAAAATATAAAAAAGCAAAAATATAATAGATTAGTAATAATTAATATATTTATTTGCAAAATGATAATGAACAAATCAATTATAAATATGTAAATGCATGCATGCATTCATTTTGAATGAATGCAATTTGCATATTCAAAATTGAAAATATAAAAAAGCAAAAATATAAAAATTTAGTAATAATTAATACACTTATTTGAGAAACTAATTTTTCAATTTATAGAAAAATATTCAGATCAATAAATTTTAATTCATTAATTTGAATATTTTTGATTAAATTTTTTTATGAAATATATTTTATAATAAATACTTTCAGCTATGAAATATAAAACAACTTATTAGCTAATTTAACTTATCAAAATTGAGAAATGTAATAGTGTAATAATAATTTTGAGCATTTTTAGATGTCCTTTAAGTTTTGAAAATTTGAAATTAAATTTTTACTTATTTAACGGTCGAAAAGTTCGTTGTGTTTTAAATTGAAAATGCATTAAAATTTTAGTGAAAATAATATCAAATCGTTACTGATTTACTTATGATGCTCATATTGAACCTTGTATAGACTAAAAATATAAGTTGAACTAGACGGATGTAAAAATGACACGTTTTATCTAATAAGGTAAAATGGCATGTTTAAATAACGTAAAAAATAATATTTATAGCTGCACATTATAGGTTGAAAGTATTTGCTAAATTATTTTTTATGTTACTTTCATAAAAAATGCATTGTTGCAACCAATTTTTACTTTTAAATCCCTAACACAAAATATTTCACTTACGTCACGCCATTTTAACTTATTAATTCAAAAAATAAAAATAAAAGTAAAAAAATAATAATAATTTAAAAAAATAAAACTAAATTTTCAGCGATTTGACATGAAAAAAATTGATAATTTTTATATTTATTTAAATTTGTGACACAAATATATCTTAATACCTTTTGAGTATATTTTGATTACTTGCGAATTTTAAACTTTTTTAAATTTTGTTTGAAAACAGAATTAAATTTAGGAGGTAATTGTAACTGATCAATCAATTAATATCTGATAAAATATCAAAATCAGAAAGATGAATTAAGAGCTTTCATTTAGCATTTACTTACACATATTTGTAAAAAAATAAAAAATATCAAAAAATCTTGCATTTAAAAATTAAAACATTTTTATATTTGAACTATCAAAAAACAGTACAGTACTAATTACTTAATTATTATTGACATATATGAGCACAGATAAAATTAAAATAATCGTTTATAATTGCATACAATAGCTAACAATTATTGATAATGAAACATCAACAGCTATGATAGACATTAAAATGATATAATTTTTTACATGATATGTTATCAGTTTATTTTTGTCTACAGAAAAGTTCTATTCTAGTACCAGAATAGAACAAATAAAAGAAAAGTGTACCAGAACAGAACAAAAAAATAGAAAAGAGTACCAGAATAGAACAAAAAAAAAGAGAAGGGTACCAGAACAGAACAAAAAAAAGAGTACCAGAATAAAACGAAAAAAAGAGTACCAGAATAGAACAAAAAAACAGTACCAGAATAGAACAAAAAAAAGAAAAGAGTACCAGAACAGAACAAAAAAATAGAAAAGAGTACCAGAATAGAACAAAAAAAAAGAGAAGGGTACCAGAACAGAACAAAAAAAAGAGTACCAGAATAAAACGAAAAAAAGAGTACCAGAATAGAACAAAAAAAGAGTATCAGAATAGAATGAAAAAGCAAAAAAACTATCTGTGATGATAATTTGAAAATAGACCAAAAATTTAGACATGAATTAATTTTATAAAATGCATTATATTGCTCGTTTTTTGACTTCAATCTTCGTAAGTGCTAGCAAATAAGCCAAAAAATGTATTTTGGAATACAAATATATTAGATTTTAGCAAATTCAAAGCTCCTTAATTGCTTAATAAAATAAAATTTGGCGTTGTTTTGCAATTATACATTGTGATTTTTTGATAGATAGATATATCCTTCAAAGCTATCAAATCAATTACTTACTTAGTCACAAAATTGAGACTGTAAAAAAAGTTCTTCTTCGTTTCAAAGTCATGAAATAAAGTCAAAAAACTTTTTGAATATTTTTTTTCATTTTTTTTTCTCAGTTAAAAAAATTTCTAAAAAACTATTAAAAACAGATATTTATTCAAAATGTCAAAAAGATTAAAGATCAGATATTTATTCAAAATATTGAAAAAAATTTTTTTTTTAAACTATTAAAAATTAAATATTCATTCTTTTGAATGAGCATTCTAATAAACGAATTTTACATTTCAAGTTGCTATTATTTATCAAATAAATATAAAAGTGTCCAAAAAAAATATCGTATTATAAAATGAAAATCTTAATGCCTGTTGTAGAAGTTAATTCTTCATTATAAAATAAAATTTTCATTTAATCTTTCTATTTGCTTGTAATTTAGGATGGCAAACTCTTGCACAGTTTTTGCATTAGCATATTTAAAAAAATGTTTGCATATAAAATAAGCCTAAGCGTGTTAAATATATACGTGAATACAAATTAAATTTGCTACAGTCAAATAATTTTTAATTTAATTTTAGAAAATAAACTTTTAAAAATCCGAACACTATTGTATGTCCGAGAAATTAAACGATTTATTTTTGAGTTTATTATGCATTTTCAGACATTTTATATTATTTAATTTTACATTTTTATAAGAAAATCTCTGATTATGCACATTATATGTATAACTTTGATATTTTTTGGTATATAAAATAAATAAAATAAAGAATTATGATCTATTTGAAAAGGCCAAAACTTTGATGTTTACTAATAATAATATGAAGTTTTAATCTCAAGTATTTTTCAACAAAATGCAATCACAAAAATCAAATTTAAATTGGTAAGGAACAAATATTAAAAGATTAGAACGTAAATAGCATACTTAGTAAGCACGTTAAAGTATAAAATGTCACGTGAAGCTTTAAATTACCTTTTTTTCTCCATTTTTAATTACTTGCAGTACTAACGTCTTTAACATCGATGACTATTATAGAGTCATTACTTTTTTGTTTCTTAAATGAGATCTTTTTTTATTACATCAACTTTTACTTGATGAACAATTTCTTGAGTAATCTTAAATCCCACTAAGTAAGATAACTTTTAGTTAAAGGAGATAGTTGCATGCTAATTTTCTACAAACTATTTATCTTTTTGCGTGTTTTGCATGCAATTAACATTTTAAAATTAACTTTCAAAAATGTCAATGTAAATTATCATCCAAAAATTCCTATGCAACTGTATTTTTATGATGATTTTAATTAATGATAAACTTTTAAAGATAATTATTACAAAGTGAAGCAATATATTAAATAATTTCCTTAGTCAATTAACTACCGTTGTACAATACTTTATCATTTTTAAATAAAATTTGGAAGTGAATAAATAAAAAATTGGAGGATCAAAAATTAAAATTTTTCTATTTTATACGAAATAGCCAGAAAGCATTTAGTGTTGAGTACATTTCAGTAGAAAAAAGGAGCCAACAATACGTATGAATGGTCTATTTTAACTTTTATCTGGTAGTAATCATGCAAATTAGGTCAAATCTAGTAAAACTTTTGCATCACTAAATATGAAGTGCCTAATTATGGTAATTTGGAAGTTGACTCGCTGTGATATACACATGCATTTAAGTTTTATACATTAGCAATGCTTGAATTTTTTATAATATTGCTTTAATTTCGAAAAATAATTAAAATTTTATGTAAAAAATATCTCATCTTTTATATTTTTTTCCGTACCATAAAAAGTATTTTAAAAAATTAAAGCCTGAATCAGAATTTTATGTAAAAACTTAAAAAAAAGAAGACGAAAAAGTTTTCAAATTTTTAAAAATTTAAAAAAAAAAGATGATTGTTGATGAAAATTGCATTGCATTTTGAATGCAATAATAAACTGTGCTTTAAAAACTAATAAAAAATGTACAATAAATTCATTTTTTAAACAGAATTCATATTTTGAATTTATTCCAATTCTTAGAGAGGATTAAATTAAATTTAGAATATGCTATTTTGAAAAATAGAAGAAATTTCGATGCAAATTTTTAGTATTTTGCAAATTTTTAATATTTTAAAAATATTTTATTAAACTTTTTGGTGATGCATCTGACTTATAAAGAATAATTAATAATTAAAAAAACCAATTTAATTCGAAAAACCTTTTTTAATAATTTATATACATATGTAATTAAAATAAATTGCATATATGTGAAAAACTGAAATAATTTAAATTATTATGGACTGATACTCTCACACTTGTATAATTGCATAAAAAGCATATATTCTGAAATAAAGCTAATAACTGATATATTTTTTTTTGGTAAAAAAACAGTAACTTTTGTGCGTCTAAAGACAAGTTCGATCTCACGTAAGTCATATTAACGTTAAAGTGATATTAATACCTTTTTATAGGCAAAATCAATCAAATAAGCAGTGTTTAATTATTTAAATTAGTATATTTCAAAAAAATAGATTACATCCGAAAATTGCATTTACATGCAAAAATAGAATTACAACAAACTGCTTTTATTTTGTAAAAAAAAGCTAAAAGAAATGGTTTATTAAATTTAAGTTTATTAAAAAAACAAACAAATCGAAACATAATATTATTAATTTTCCGTGATATAAAGAAATAATGATAATAATCAAGAATAAGATTGTTTAATAAAAGTAATAACTGATAATACGACTGAAATACATGATAATAATAGTTGGAAAAAAAAGTGCTGTTGACTTCTCTGCGTAAAATATCACGCCATTTGTCGAAAAAATGTTGATAAAAATCGTTGACAGAATATTGTTTGACAAAGTTTGCGATAAAATCTCATTTTTTTTTCTTTTTTTGAAATATTTTCTCATAAATGTATACTAAAAGTTTTTGTGTGCCTATCAAAATTAGTGTTTACTTTTAAAGTTATGAATGTTTGATAACTTGCCATATATAAACAATCATAAATTGTTTATATATGGCAATCAATCATAAAAATTGATCAGTTATGTAAAATCAATGCTATAAAATGATCAAATTTGTGTTTATTGTATTAGTAAGATATTTGTATTCAATACTAGTACATAAATTTATAACTGATTGATCAATAATCATAGAGTAATTATTTGTATTCAATACTAGTACATAAATTTATAATTGATTGATCAATAATCATAGAGTTACTAAATTTTGGTACATTTTATGATGCATTTACAACTTTGACATGAATATTAATTTTATTTTCATTTTTATAAAAAATCATAAATTAAAAAAAAAATTACGTACTTGTATAATTTTTGACAAAATTACATTTTATTTCAGACTAATTAGTACAAAATATTAAGATTATTATTAACCATTCTTAGCATTTCAAAAATTTTTTGTGATTTCAGATGGATTAAACTTACTTTTTAGTTGCTTTTGTTTTCCAGATAAGGTCAAAAATTTTAAATAATAAAATATTAGCTATAACTTTATGATTGCCATCACTAATTTCTGCACTAATTTGCCTTCACAAGATAAAACTGTAACAATTATTCAAATTTCATACGCTGAAGAAAAAGCAGCTTAATTTTTTTCGAAAGTTTTGTTCTATTTTAACATTTATGATTGTAATATATTAAGAAAAGCAATTTTTGTGTAGCACTTAAAATTATTTCATGCCATATTATAGGTGATATATTACACGCGTATAACTAAATATTTTTAGCGTCACGTGCTATGGTTATTAGCTCATTAAAGTATCATATTTACAATTAGTTAGTAAAGAACTTTATTTTACAAAAAAAGTTAAAGAAAAATGAAATTATTTAGCATAAAAAATGAAGCATACAGTGTTTACTGAAGAAGATAGTACAGGAAATGAGTGATAGCAGCAAAAAAAATGATATAATTTTGACGACTTTAATCATGTATAATAGCTGAGTCACGTTCAACGTTTCTGCCGTAAACTACGCTAAGAGCTGTAGACGTTTTCATCACGCATTATGACGATTCCGTATTTTCTTGCCCCGAATTTTTTCTCATAACCCGACGCTTATTTTCTGCCAAATATCCACCTTTTGTACTATCAACCTGTTGAATTAATTAGTGTACATTGAATGATTTTGATCTAGTAATCAAAGTGTTGTAATTTATTCATATCAAAGCAAGAAACATTATGCAAACATCATATCCCAAAACTTGTAAATTATTTTGGTTGCATGTATTGAACAATAATTATTTGTTATTTAAGATAAATAAGTAAAAATTTGACTTACTATAAATGATAAAAGCGCGTTCCAAGCCTTCAAGCATTCTCGTTTACCACGTATTAGATCAGCTTTAGTGACGGATTCAGCGAGTAAATCACCAAACTCATCCCACGTTGAAGACATTGAACGCTGAGATGCATTACAGTGAGCTGCACCCATTACCATACAACGGTCCTAAATTAGACGCTGCTGCATTTATGCATTCTTAAAAAAATAAATAACAAAAATCGAAAAAATTTGTAAAAATGATTTACAAATTAGAAATGACAAAAACTACTTTCACTTTTTATTAGACTAATCAGGAATGTAGCAATTTTGACTTGAGAAAAAAAAAGCAAATAAGCTAATAGAATAGAAATAATTCAAGAAACGACAACAACGAAGAAATTATTCAAATTTTAGATTAACAAATTTGAATAACAGTTATTTTCATATTTGTTTACAGTAAATAATAAGATAAGTGCATCAAATTGACGTGAATTCAAGTTAACTCATTAATTTGTAGTTTTTTTAATTACATCAATAAAATTATAAAAATAAATACAAAAGTA